GCACCCCAAACCATAACTCCAACAGTGTGATGAACATGTCTTTCAACAAAAAACTGTGGATTCCTCCTTTCACCACGTCGCCTTCTAACCCTTACACCGACGTAATCGCCTTGAGTGGTGCAGACAACGGTCACTCTGGGATCAGGAATGGAACAGTATTGTCTTTAGTGACGAGTCTCGATTTTGTTTAGGCATGCACGATGGTCGTGCCAGGGTTAGAAGGCGACGTGGCGAAAGGAGGAATCCACAGTTTTTTGTTGAAAGACATGTTCATCACACTGTTGGAGTTATGGTTTGGGGTGCTATAGCTTATGGTTCCAGGTCACCTTTAATCTTCATCAGAGGTAACATGAACGCGCAGCGTTATATCCGCAAAGTTCTAGAACCCCATCTTTTACCCTATCTTGACACCCTGGCAGATCCAACTTTCCAACAAGATAATGCCCTACCACATGTTGCAAGAGTCACAATAGACTCCTTTCAACATAATGATGTCACATTGTTACCATGGCCACCAAGATCTCCCGACTTATCCCCAATTGAGCACATGTGGGATATGATGGGTAGGAGATTGCTCAATTTGCAACGTCCTCTTCAGACTCTAGAAGCACTTCGAGAGGAGTTGGTGGTTGCCTGGAATGAGATACCACAGGAGGACATTGACCACCTGATCAGAAGCATGCCTAGGCGCGTTGGAAGATGCGTAGCACATCAGGGTGCATCCACACATTATTAAAGGTAAAGGGCTTTAAAGCAGTGCAATCATTTTGAAATTGTTATCATTTACTTATTATGCTTCATTAAGTACTTATACAAAATTTTATTAAAATAAAACCATTTAAACTGGGTGTTCGGATTTATATGTCACTTAGTATATTTATTGGATATATATGTAAAGTTGACTCTGCTTCCCACGCAACTCTGTTATCAGTTCGTAAAGGATTATTTTTTGCACATGTTAGCCCTTGCGAGAAAAAAGTTAGCTACAAATATGTCCAACCATTGAATGACCTTCCCCTTCCCTTTGAGAGGAACTCCTGCGTTGCAATCACAAATCCTACGTGAATGACGATATTGGATTTCACTAAACACAGTGCACACAGCTTGCACTAGAACTGAGACAACTAAGGCCAAACTCAATAAAATTCAGCGTTTGGCCTGTATTAGTATTACAAGCGCAGCGCGAACAACGCCATTGAGTACAATGGAAGCTCTGTTGGATCTCCCACCGTTGGATCTGGTGATCCGCGGTGAAGCGAGAGTAGTCGCTCAACGACTGTGGAGTCAGGGCAGCTGGGTTTTCTATAATCCTGTCAAGGGGCATACTGCCATCTTAGTCGAATTACAAAGGGAGGACCCCGTCCTTCTAAGCAGGGGTGATCGTATTACTCCTAAATATCGCCTCAACCGCAAGTTTGTTGTGGAGTATCCAATGAGGGAGGAGTGGGACGCCGGTAGCCGGGGACTTTCCGGAGTGAGCGGGCAGGTCTGGTATACGGACGGTTCGGTCACCGAAGAGGGCTCAGGTGCTGGGGTCTCTGGGCCTAGAACTAGGCTATCTCTGCCTCTCGGTGGATACACCACCATTTTCCAGGCGGAAATCTTTGCGATTCTGGCTTGTATATCTCACATTCTGGAGGAGGGTGGGCCTAGGAGAAGAATAACAATCTTATCCGACAGCCAGGCTGCAATGAAAGCACTAAGTGCCTGTAAGATTACTTCGAGTCTTGTATTGCAATGCAGAGAGGCTCTGCTGAGGATCCCGCTGCGGGGTAGAGGAAGAGACCTCGGCGCACATTTTGTGTCGCTGTGAAGCTCTGAGCTACCATAGGCAGACTATACGGGTCCATTACTTTGGACCCTCAGGACGTCAAGGAGCTTGGACTCAAGGCGATTCTCAACTTCGCTAAAAGGGCGAGGCTTGTGATCTAAGGATTGTGGAGGTGCATAAGGGCCCGCTTAAGCGGCCTATGCACTGGCTCCTCATGGTGGCCGGAATGCCTCTAATTTCAAGATTCATTCATTCATTCAACAGCTCACAGCAGTGCGGAAGCGATTGCCGACTATTACGTACGACCACCGACGATGACGCTTGTCTATCATGGGGCCACGTCGCACATATCAACACGGCGATATTTCTAACATTTGAGTGAAATATGTCTGAAATTAGCGGACAGACAGATGGAAATGACTGACATGGTTTCTCGTGGTGAACATCTCAATATCTATCTTATATTTTCATAATTTTTCGCGATTACAAGACTTACCCGCCAGCAGGTGTGTGAAGTGAAAAGATCATACTGCTTTTATGTTTACGTTATATTATATTACTATATTTTTGACAGCTTTTTTACTCTTTCCAGGGACATATTATGTGTGTTTTGAATGAACAATTAGGCAGAATATATCTGGTAATTCTCAGCTCGTTAACAGAATTTCTCCCTGCCGTAGAATATACGGCATAGAGGTTTTCCCGTTTTCCCGAAAGCATCAGGCATAAACTTTTCCGAACGCCTCCGAGTGTGTAATTACAGTCACGCAGATTCTAAAACAACAGCATAGCACAAAACTACAGCTGAAAATGGGAAATGAGTGTTGTTGGATTTATAGTGTTGTGACTTTAGACAGTAATTTCCTTATTTACACAATACAAGTATAACACATTCACACATGATTATCTGAGTTGCTGCTACTAGCACCTTTTAAGCGGCCCCTTTTGCAGAAACAGAGTCAATGATGTGATTGTCATATAGAAATGCCTGACGAATTTGTTCCTCCGAGCTTTCCTCCATGATACCGTTGCACGTCTGACTTGCCAAATACATCCGCCAGACTTTTGCCCATCATTCTGGCTCTGTCGAATTCTGTGCAACGTGAACTGGCAGGTGCGATATTTCATTTCTTCCAAGGGTGCTGAGATTCTGGGACTTTTTTTTTGAAGTGGTTTTCCATATTCTTCCAAGTTTTCAGCAAATAATCTTCAACAGTGATTGTGCATTTTGTGGCTTGTGTGTAATGTGTTTACATATATATGATATTAGAATCAATCACACGTTTTTGTTTTAAGTGTGGAGCACATATTTAGTAGGTGAAGCGTATCTTTTAACCAAGATCGAGAACAGTACCTAGAAAATCGTTTCAAAGTCAAAGTGAAAAGCCAATGAAAGCAGTCTGAAAGAAGTTGAAAACAGAAGGATCAATAGTTCACAATAGTTAATAAAATTTTTTTTGTTTTTATTGGCAAACTTATAGTCTTGCCCGATAAAAAATTGTATTGGTCAATTAGGACATTAGTAATGGATGTAGTATAATCCAATGCATTCAACTGAAGTTCAATAAATATTGTTAGTTGTTGTGAACCTTCATTCAAACCTGATTGACACTAGAATGACGAACCTTCAAGACCATCTTACATATTGGCAAGTACCATTGCATTTTACGTTAAATATAAGCTTGTGATTGGAATCCTCTTCAAAATAGCCAATGAAGTCACTCCACGGTCACTTTCATTTTCATTTTGTAATCAATGCGTTTCCTATCGTTCGTTATTATGACGTAATCTAATCATTTCATCTGCTATCAAATACCTTGACATCCCTATAAGCCTCCTGGAAATTAATTTGTACTCATTACAACCTTTAGATCTGTCGGAAGAACGAAAGCTGTAAAACAGATCACAATTCGATGGGGCACTTGTAGCGCCGTCCATGCATTGTCTCTGGGGAAAGCATCTGAGTGAGGACGTTATATCTTGATTAGCAACTATTTTATAACATGTCTGTAATGAATTCACATATCCCGAATATGTCCAGAAAAGAAAGCTCTAGCCACCATCTTATTTTGCACTTAAAATAGCATCGCAATAGATCAAGAACTATAATAAGTATAGAAAAATAACGTGGTAAGTACCACTGAATAGAATTGAGAATAGAAGATCTCCTGGATAGCAGAAAAGCTTCATTTGCGAACTTGTTGGTCTCCAAGCCAAAAGTATGAACAAGGATCTTCATTCACAATAAATTGTTCGACTTTTTAGCGCTATTTATGCAGGCTCTGATACTGTGGATAGAAGCAAACTTGCACTGAACGTATTTTAAAACAGTTTGGTCTTCTAAAAGCCCTGGATTATTAGCTCGCTAAACTGCATCAAATTAAAATCAGAATTGGATCGACCGCAATTTGCATAAAAATGAAAAGTCGTCGGATTTAGATTGAATGCAACTAAATCTGACAAGTGAATGACTCGCTTGGTGTGGTTGCATGACGAATATTTAGCACACGCTAAACATATATAGTGTGGATAAGCGTTATCTCGTTGTATAGAGTGGACAATAAACCTCGTTAGATGTTTACTCACTCAACTTTTGAAGATAGATCAAGGGGGAACGCTTAAATGGACTGAAAAGGACATAGTAAAAGTACCATCCACGTGCTTGGCAGGTTGTTACTTCAACACGGAGCGATACAAGTAAGTACTTTTAGTAAAGGTCCATTAATCACAAATGAAATGTTTTCAGAATGTTTTAGACAAATAAATATTGCTTCGTTTAAGGATGCAATCATCAGAATATTACAACACTAAATCCAAGAATATCATTGGATATAATCCAATAATCAGACACACAATCATAAACTTAACAATTTGGCAATTGAATTTAAGATTAGGTTTGTGAAAGAGATTTTCCTGTAGATCAGGTAGCTATTGAAAAGAGAAGACACGCATCCTTCCCTCCTGCAACTTTTAAATATTAGTAAAAAAAAATTAATTTTTCAGCCGGTATCTTGAGAACTCTGCATTTCTGGACCCATGTTTATAGAAACTTTTTTCATATTTTTTAACAAGGAATCACCTTCAAAAATATCTCCGCCTATTTTCCAAACACCCTGTATACACCTCACAATAGTTGATGGCGCCACTAACACAAGCCAATTTTTTACACTGGTTTTTCATTCTAAATATTGAAAAGACATTTCATACTCCATTAAGCACGTCATAGTCTTCAATGTTCCATTCTGTCAAATGTCAGAGGATTCTGAAAAAATAATATAGGACAGTTATGCAACAGCTGGAAGAATAACAAATATTGTATAGGAATAATTATTGTACTGAAGTAGTGGTGCAAAATGCAAACAATTGCTTGAAGTACTGTTTGATAATCGAGATGTGTATTTCCTTCCGATTGTTGTCATGCTCAACCGATAAATTTCACTGTATCAACTCTCACCATTGGGGTTTTGGAAGCGGTGAGAGATACGAAGACGGTCAGATGGGAGCAAAGTTACAACTTGATAAATTGGCTATTTTTTGAAACATACCTTCACATCAGAGCTCAGAATGTATTAGACTGTCGAAGAATGCTCTCAACACCAATAATACTTTAGGCAGTGTCCCAAGATGTTAGGATCAATAATATTTTTGATATATACTTTTGATATAATCAAAAATGTTAATAATCCACTATCTGCAGATCATAATCACTTCATAGTTTTAATCTAAGTGAGACAACAAGTACTACAAAAAATTTTCAAAGCGATATAGAGGATTTGATATAATGTTCTCCGAATTACAATTTGAAAATAAATCGAAAGTTTTATTGTTTTCAAATGGAAAAAAAAGAAACAAATGAACAGGATTTAGAGTTTCGTGGATTCGCAAACACACTTGTTGATGGCGTTTCTGAAGTTATTGAACATTTGAAGAGTCCGTGTCAAAAATCGTATCTGAAGATACGTGCTATGATGGCAAACAGTCACCAAATAAATATTAAACTTCAAGTAAAACTATATGAGTGTCTAGTCGTATCCGTTCAAAATTACTGTGTTATCACTTATATTACTTGAAAAAACATTCAAATCATTCATGACAATTGCGTGCCGGTTATGTTTGATAACGCGAATTTGACCATATTTCAAGTTAATACCAACTATTGAAGGTGATGGAATTTGAGGATTTAGTTAAGTATTATTTAACCTTCTCATACAATTTGCGACTGACCTCGAAACTCCAGTTATCTTGTAGAAAAACCTTTTTTTTAAGATGTGCACAGTAAACCTTTGAAACACAATATTATAAGAATTCCACATTACCGCGTTATTCAAGCGAAGTTTTTCATATGTGTCTGTTAGGTATAATGCCGTACCGAAACTGTATATAAGACAGTCAAAGTTAAGCTTGTTATGTTTACTTACTGTATAACAATTTCAGCTTTAATTATTTTCTTATCTTGTTTCCTTTGTATTTACTGTTTTTTTAAGATGCAGCTCGAAAAATTCTGTTCACAAACGCGAACTGATTGGTTAAGTGAAAGAGTAGTGAATACTGAAGTTCGCCAGTCAGCTTATTCGTAAACAATGATTATTATTATTATTATCGTATACTTACACATATTACGATGTACTCAAATGTGTTTCTGAAGGTATGCCATTAGCGTTAATTGGAAAAAAAGTTTACTTATTTAAATAACTTCAGAACTTAGTTACAACGTAAAACGTAACTGTAAGCCCTTAAACATATTGTATGTGCTCGTGCTGAGCATTCTGGCAAATACGTTGTATAAATGCTCACATAGCCAAGGCAAGAATGAAAAAGTTCCTAGACCACAATGGCCATCGTCATGCTAGAGACACACAGGATCAGCTAAGGGTAAAATCCCCGCACAAAGAAAGTCGATAGGAAAAATGGATTCACTGTTAAGCGACTACCATACAGGATTTACGAAGAGAATTTTCCCTGAACACACGCGGAAAAAGGAAAGATTACCTGCATCCGTAGAAGTTCTTCTGGTAGATTTTCGGTAAATAAATCTCAAAGCTTCGTAAAATTGTTATCTCTGGCCAGACCGTCTAGGAGAAGTTCGCTAGAAGTTTGTGGAAGTCGCTGGGGGTCTGCTTACTTCTACGAAAAGATTTCTGATTTACAAATTGTTTGTAGTGGGAGAAAATTTTTGTATTCCGAACAAGCTTTCTCGCTCCAAGAGTAAATCCTTTGAGATACAGCACTTTTACATATATAGTGTATGCCCAGATATGGGCGGCAAACATTCAAGGAAAGACTCTTTGTAAGACTATTTTGTTCATGACCTTGGTAAGATCGCTTCATTTCGAATATGTAAGGTAAACAAAACTTTCAAAAACTATCTAAAACTAATTATTTCAAGATAGAATGTAAGCCTGCATTCTGCTTGTCCTAGATCAACGAACTCTTTCAGACATAAGGTCGTTCCTTATTCAGGTATATTACATTCAAGCTTAATCAAAATTGCTCAGGATTTTTCAACAGTAATATATGGATATCATTCAATAGGTCAAGGAGACCCTGACCTATAGCCTGCTCAACCTCCGGACTTAATCCTGCTAGGTTATTTCTCATGAGGCCACCCAAAGTTGTTGGTTTACAGAACTTTTAAAGGTCAAACAGAAAAATCGTAGCAAGATCCAAAATATAATATTACAGGGTATTCGAAAAATAGACGGAGATATTTTGTAGGGTGATTCCTTGTCAAAAAAATATGAAAAAGTTTCCATAAACATGAGTTTTCAAGATACAGAGTGATAAATTTAAATAAATTTTCTTTTTTGTTAATATCTTAAAAAATGTTTACGCTATTCTGTTGAAATTTGACAATATTATTTGCTGTTTTGACTAATTTAGTTTAAAATAGATTTAAATTATTAGGTCCAGTGGCGTCCCAGGAGGCACCTTAGCGGATACTATTGGCCAAAAAATGTACGCCACTGCCTTTTACTAACTTTAATATTTGTTGTTTGATTAAGCTTCTAAGAATATAACTTATTTGACTCTTGTATTTGTTCGTATCTCACTTCGTTTTCGATAAAAAAAAATAAAAACCGTTTTATTGCATGTCACTACACAAAATCGGTTTATTAATTTTTGCTAGAAAAATCAAAAAAAATTCTAGGAGGGAGTCTTATTGCAGCTTTTCCAATAGGAACCATGACATAAAGTGCACTACAACAAATTAATAAAAACCTTTTTTTTTATATATATCACCCTGTATCTTCAAATCTATGCATTTCCGGACCCATGTTTATAGAGACTTTATTTCATATTTTTTAATAAGGAATCAGAACACCCTGTATATAAAGTAAAAATAACTTAATGATTGTATTTATCCCTGGCTGGCTCCTGGTCACTCTTATTTAAAATGAAGGTCATTTCAATGCGCTTGCAATGGCATTGTTTTGAGCTTATCGAATCTGCTTTAGGTGCACCTGAGAGCATTTCATGCGGTCGTCATATTGGATCATGTCATTTTGTATTAATCATGAATTGGTCTTTCTGATATCACTGTCTTCTTATTTTGCTGCACGTCAACCTAATCATGTTCACGAGCTTCAAAGGTTAAATTACTAGAATGTTCAGGAACATATTTAACACCATTTTGATTGTTCGGGCGGGGTCATTTTAAAAAATGTACTTAAACGCAGAATTACCTTGAAGGTCAAAGTTACACGCACGCCGCTTTTTTCATAGTAATATTTTTCTATTGGATTGGTTACTTTGAGTTTCTTCTATCATATTTATTACATCTTCCTATGCCACGATGACATAAATTACCATGTCGAAAAGTAAATTAAAACCTTACAAACCACTATAATCGAAATGAATAAACATATTGGACGAATCCAGAGGATGCGGTGGCCGCAGTAGTAGACTCTTCGGTCTCCTGATCAGTCGCCGTGCGCTGTGCGGGTTCGAGTCCCGTCCCAGGAGAAATTTTTCTCTTGGCTATGGATTTTGTGATTGTCCGTAGGTGGTAGACGGTCTCTGACTGTCGAACGTGTAGGTACCACCCGGCGGATCTCGTAGGCGGAGCCAGAATGTCTGCATGTTGCATGCACACGTGTTCCCTCGCCAGAGTCCGTGTAGCGCTCCCCCTTTCCCCTGTATCCCCCTATAGCCCCCCGGTACCCAATGGGTGTTTAGGCCTTAGGCCTTTGTGGCAGTTGGAGTATAAAAAAAAAGAACAATGGATATCGGGGATGAAATATGCCCAGAAGAATAAGACTTCGAAAAGTGCTTATCAGATCTCACCAAATGATTGATTGATTGAATAGCTGACCCTTGAGATGAAAAACTAAATTTAGTCAACGAATTAGGTAGATGCAAATCAGAAGCAAGTACGTGGAAAACGAACTACAAGAGGCTGTTACGTAGGTTTTGACATTAATTGGAAGGTTATTTGATGAAAACTGAATTTATGCTGCTAATAATAAACGTCCTAGAAGTGATTCATTCCAGCTGAGATAGGATCAGACTGATGGCCATAGATCCAAAGCAGCATTTCAAAATTACAAAGTCAAATACTGAATGAGGTTAGCCACCTGTCTGAGGAAAATTTGCAGGGATTGCATAGTGACAGTCTAAAGTTTCAATGACGTCGTCCAACAGATCAGGTGCATCAGATGAAAATGCAAGTCAAACACTTCAATCAGTCTGTCTTTTGGCCATTTTGTCAGTGCACAGCCTCAGCGACCGTTGCAACGATTTTAATGGAAAGGGAGTGATGTATTATCTACTATATCTGATGTTCCATCAAAATCGCTGCAACGGTTACTGGAATTACTCAGTGAGAAAATCGCCATAGTGAGGCTGAGATACTTGATCTCAATAATGAAAATATCACAAATTTTCAAGAAAGCAAAGAAAATTATTCAGTTTAAAATGGTATTTTTGTTCATAGAAAATGATTACGAATATATTTCCATGTGAAATAATGATGTGGCGTACGTAGTTTTGATACGCATTTTTCCTCCTTCTATCAAGGTGTCGAAGAATCGTAAAAGACATTTTTTGTACCAAATTTTATTCTTTACCCACTATAAGCAGAAACATCATGACATGTACCTTTCTCATAATCTGCTGACCACACGAAACTATGTTTATAGAAAAAATAATGAATTTAATACCCTGCATGATTGTTCATTACCTTTTTACATAAAGCCGTTGGTTTCCAAAACTTTAGTTTAAACGCTTTCATCAAAATGGTGCCAATTGCTTCAGCCCTAGCATGACGCCAATTGGAACTTACCTCAGGGAAGCAATAATTAACGATACCACCACCAAATTATAGGACTAGCTTACACAAAATCTCTCTATTTATTGGCCTAGTAGGTGTCGGACTAATAACAACGACATACGGCAAAACGGTATTGCAGATGAAACTACCGAGAAAGACTACCAGAGACGTTTTCACCTCAGCTGGACGAAGTGAAGGTGATCAAATAACAATTGAAAATTGCATAACTCTGAACATAATGGAAAGGTGTATCATTAATCATCTGAAATTTAAAAGATAAAATTATATATTCAAACAATCCGTAAGTAGTATGCGCCATGCGCCGTCTTGAAATGTTTCTGCTATTTTTACCTTAACATATAATATTCATACCGAATTTCAGCGTGGACAGTGCGATTCAAGAAATAAGTAGGATTATCATTATTGCAAGGCGATTGTAAACGTCGTCGTTTAGCAGTTATTCAAGAAAAGCCAATCACCAGAATATTACTGAAAATCAAACCCAAGCGAATAGTCAAAATTTTACCGCGGTTTTAATGTGGTTTGAGATGGCACAGGAGTTGATGACGTCAGCAACTCGAATCGCTTGAACGCGAAAACTGCGTAAATATTATTTTTATTATTACCTAATAATCGGTGCTCTTTCGTCTACAGAAGTGATATGGGAAGTTTGAAAAAGAAAACTTTCATAATACAAATGGGAGAAATGCTTTTTGTTCAGGTGATTTTGCTGATGTTCAAATGAGTGAAAACTTGAGATGTATCGACAAGTATGCAAAAATTCATAATCCTAAAGAATTAAAAACAAAAATGAAGAAATAGTCGGCTATATCATGAAATGGTGAAATTATATAAGTATATGAAACTGTATAAAATCTAGGCTCTTGATGAGTGTCTAAATTTTATTCCTCATGTGAACAATTTTACAAAAAATTATTTTTAGTACTTCGGCAGTTAAAAGTGAACAAATTTTCATTTTTGAATTCTATTATATTTACTCACGAGATATACGCTTCTTGTTTTGCACTATCATGTACAATTCTTTACCATCTAATACTATATCCTTAAATTTATAGAATTTCAAAAAGGATTAAAAAAATCGATGTCGAACAATCACATATCCTCTCATTTCTGTTCACACACACATATGTTGAAACTTCTTAGTGGTATATATAGTTTTTATTGTCTATTTTCTTATTGACGTTTTACTGGTTAAGTGATAGAATAGCTCATGAAAAACTTCGCCCAATAAAGACGTTTTATTATTATTGTTATTACTACTATTATGCTGAGAGTATGAAAGTAGTTCCTACAATTCCTCTGCAATCAAGGTATTCAGTGTGATTTTTTCAAGTATAGTGATTACTTGATTTCTACTTTGATAGACGCTGTGATTGTCAATTTTAAACTGGAATGGCAACGCTGCTGGAGCACTTGAATGAAATTCCCTTTCCGGCATCTGTGCAGTTGAATTTCTGGGCATTCTAGTTAATAAATAATACTCTCTCCACAGAGCTTGCACTATTATTCCCATCCTTCGTTTTATGATATTGTAAGCCAGATAAAAAAGTATAAACGCTGGCCGCAGGGTTGGATTTGGAACCCTACATATCCTAATGGTGCCTGGAGTCAAGAGATCAAACGAATGTGGCTGCATCTTAAGGAGGGTAAAATTGACTTTTTATCTCATGTGATTTCTTTGAATTGTATGAGATGGAGAATGATTTATTGCTTCCACTTTATATGAGTGCTGTTAACGCTTCACAGATATTAGAGAACAGGGTAGTTGCTACTTTTCTTTTTTTTAAATATGACGTAAACCATATCACCGACGCAATCTGAGTATTAATACTTTTTAGACCTTATTTCATTGGAAACAAGGTTAGACGCATTGGGGACGCTCTTCACAACAAATGTGGATCAGAGGAGCTACAGTTGCCTCTTTAGTATATCTTACAACTGTTTACCAAACCATTCCGTTCAAAACAAAACCAGGTAATTTTTTTTTCAATATCTTAAAAACCGTCTACTGGAATGAACTAAAATTCGACAAGTGGATTTACCTAAGTATTGTCCACACTCAAAAGTCTTTACTTAAAATTAACGTGCACCAGAGGCGGAGATACAGAAGATTAGGATTATTTTTCCTGATAAAAATAGTACGCCACTGTATTTTTCGAACCGCGCAATTTTTCGAATTTTACCTTCAATTTGCTACAAATAATTACTCTTGTGTTTTTTCCTATAGTGCTTTGTTTTCGTAAAAACAAAAAAAACAAATTAGATAATCAGAGCTTCATTTCAATAAATGTATATCCGCCACTGTTGCACGTTTACTTTTAATAAAGACTTTGGAATGTTGACAATACTTAGGTAGATACACATACCAAATTCTAGTTAGTTCCAGTTGACTGTTTTGAAGATATTAAAAAAAATGTTTTTCATTTTTAAACTTCATCTTTTTATGAATCCCTCGACGACAAAATGTTACCCAGAAGACCCCCCCTTTGAATGCGCTTCTGTGTATGAATTTGCGTTTTTGGTTATTGACTTGTGAATCACCCTCTATAGAAGTAACCCAATGTTAAACATTTACTTTCCTCCCTCTCCTGAAAAGAAATCTTTATCTGCATCCAGGTTGTTAATTAAATCAGTAACAAAAGTAAACAACATTCATGTTACCTAAAATAAATTAACCAATAATGTCCTATAAAAATATAAATATTCTGAGCAAATATTATGAAGTATTGGCACGCGAAGCATCACGAGCTCTAACGCTACACACGCTTATTACGTCCGAGATGCATACAAAATATTGTCTACCACTAGCTGCGATCAAACAAGAATTAAATACCATTATATCACTGGTAGTTGAGTGGTTACCTAGCAACGGAAAGACATGGTCGTTATCTTGTGTTCAACAAAAATTTATCCATAGCGGGCGCTAAAGTTACCTTAGCGTGATAGGAACAGAGAATTAACGAGATTGCAGAAACGCCCAGAGAACCGATTCTTAAAGTACAGTTTTCCAGCTGGTTGCAGATGAGCTCGCTTGTGATGTAATGTTATTTGTAGATGTATAACTACGTATGTAATATGTATGTCAATTGATTGTTGGCAGATGTTGTAAAGGAGTACTGGGTACTGATTCAAATTCTCAAAAATGATTAGCGCATTCAAGGCGATCAGCAAGTATGATATCTCTGACCATCAACAAAACTGCAAACCTTATATTTGCTTGTGGTTTTAATAACGTGAATAGCTATGCTCCATGCCTTTACCTACTACCTTGATCAGGTAGAATTCTCGACCTAGCGAACGCGACCAGCAGTAAACTGGAGAGCATCGGCAGTGCCTTATCGGATTATCGCTACGGCCTGCGATTCTATCATGGTGTAACAATAAAAAAGAGCTGCACTGGTCAGACTGAATATTTTTTTGCTATCACAAACGTTGCGTTATAACTTATAACACCTTGTTGGACCGGCATGTCTAGAGAACAGTAAGCAAAGCGTTTGATTTATTAATAGATTCGGTCCTTGTGCTGCCATCATGCGGATAAAGTTTTTCAGGAAGAGATAGCAAACGGCGTTAGGAAACATGTCCCACTGCTTGCAGTTATGCACGCAAAATTAAAGTTTTTTGATGACGTATCTCTCTGGGACGTCAAAAAGAAAAAACGCTAGCTATTAGTATTGTACTCCTTGGCTCGAATTGCTATGGCCAACTGTGCAAAGTTTAACGTGGATTATTAAAATAATAAGAGTAGATTGACTATCCACTTCCCACGCAGCGCTATCATCAGTTCATAAAGGAATATGTTCGGCCACGTTAGAGCACTTGAGGAAAAAGTTAGCTACAAACATGTATAACAAAAACATTAATTGGATCAAGTCAGCCGAACAAGCTAAAACAATTAGTCTATGGTTCCCAACCATTTGATAATGCTGCGATCTAGAAATTCCGTCATTGCTCTACCGACAGTATCCACCATCTGGAAACGTCGCTGAACCACACCGTTGTACAGTGACCGGGCCAGCAGAGAGTGGTCAGGTGCAAACAGGATTTAGTACACATGGGTGTACGTGCATAACGATGCCGTGTGACCGATACGCGAGCAGGAAAGATAATCCGTGGTTGTCAAGGACAAGTTCATTATACAGAACATACATCCAAATTAGATTATTTTCTAGACTCTAATGAAGACTTAAGTCGCTTAACGACGATGCTTTTAAGCAAAACTTGATTGTCATACGTGAACAGCAAGAAATAATTGACAAAACCAAGCTTTCCAGAACACCTTTCCAGGTAATCGCTGTACTTGTATCTCGATCAGCATTCTTTGTGTTTGATTTAGGTTAGCTTAATAGTAAAGGCTCCCATTATCAAAAACCTTACATCAGGATCCGGTACTGGACATTCGTCTGGACGATGCACAGAGCTCTGAAATAAAGGAGCGTGCTTTATCCACTTCGAATAATGAAACCGTCCCATGGTTGCATTTTAATCTACGAATAGCTTTTTTTAAAACAAGAATAATTTTATCTGCGAGCGTCATTCGTATAGTTATGTATAATCCGACAGTACTGGACTCCTTGTCTGTTGGTTTTTGATCATGTTGTTGCTTGGACATAGTTTCTTTAAATTTCAATGTCAAACTTGTTTAATGCAGCTTGTTGGTTTTGAAAAAGTTTTGAAATTATATGTCAACTATAGTTCACCCTAATATGTACCTGCTACGAATACGTATTGTTTCTTCCTGAGGACGTCCAGCTACCATTTTTTGATATCATTAAATAGATGTTTTTTTACGGATTTCGGTGTTTACCTATCAACCCCATATGAAATATGTAAACACATCAACTAAGTGTACCATATGCGTAGGAGAAACTGCACACCGCGCAAACCGATCTTCAACGGAGCTACTCTTGGACACGTGGTAACAAGAAAATGGTTACCTACACTCTGCAATAGATGTGATACATGAAATGTCGATATTGTTTACCCAAACCAGCAAAATGATTTTTATAAGGACTGTGTAGATAGTACAATGAAATTGCACAAATCTAATTGTTCTGTAAGCGTGTTGTAAATAGTAATAAGCAACCATATAATGCCCATTTTATAAGACATTTCAATAGTATAAGGTCTGCATGAAGAAGCTATACGGCACTTATACAGTTACAAAACTGTTACATAGATGCTTCCTTGCCTTCTAGAAACGTCGTTTTAAACGCATAAACGGAAAAGATATTTTCACAAATGGATTCTTCTTGACGTAGGAACTACCTCTCGTATTTCTACATGTCGTTCGCTCAAAAAGCGAAAACCTACCTGACCTTAACTTGCAACTCCACACTCCCTTATATATCCTAGTAACACGATTGTGAAGATCACTTTCTGGAAAGACAAAAAATTCCACTACCTTCGCGTAACACATCAAAAGACCTACACATAAACAAAACTGGGTAAGACATACTCTAGCGCATATCACAAATATTTCATCTATTATTGTAAAGATTAGGAAGTAACTTTTACGAAAATATATTTTTTTCTTTGCTTGCTATTTTATAGAACTTCAAAGTTGCATTTTTGGTAGTAATACCCTAGATTAGAATACTGTTTTATACACTGATTTTTCTAATTTTTGCATAAAAGGATGCTTTAAATTATAAAAATATAGCAGACACTCGATAGTACTAAGGAAAACAGACGTGAAAAAGTAAAAAATCGTTGTTTTTTTGCAAAAAAAGGTCCAAACCTAGCCGTGTAATAAGCTAAAATAACAGTTCAAAATACTAAATGATGTCCGTTGTTGCCATGTTGTTCCTTTTTGGGAGAAATACGTAATAAAAAATGAGGTTAATTGCAAAATTAAATTCTCAATTTATTGTAACTGGCTTGTTTTATGAGAAGTTGTCCCTAGTATTTACTGAAAATTAGATGAAATTTTGAACAGTATATGTCTAAACAGTGAAAATGCACCAGCGGCTCGCGTGACCAAAAAAATACAAAAGGCACCAGCGGTCATTGGCTATATAAAAATACCCAACTTCGATTCGTCGATTTGGACCACATCGCCAGGTCCACCCAACATATCGTCGTCCAACATTATAGTTAAATAAAGATCAACGACCATTTCATCAAATCATTAAAAAGCTGTTCTACTTTGTTATGTTTTCGTTATTTAGTGACTGCCAACAGCTACTTTTTCAGTAATTTCTCATATAGGTATATCACATTTAATTATGTATATTTCAAATAAAACAAAATTCAAAATTGAAACCAAACAATTTATAATTGAAAAAAAATAGACATCAAATTGCAAACATGATACGTATGAAAGAAATTTAAACTTAATGTAATAGTAAAAACCCTCCAAGGTTCATATCCTCGTATATAATAATAATAATAATATTTATTTACTCTAAAATACAGGGAACATGAAACGAGTAAATAAATATAATATATCCATAGGAGGACAACGCCTGTGCATGGATCATATGTATGTTGAATTGTAAAATATAATAAAATAGAGAGAAAAAAGAATTTATTGGTAAGAATGGTAGAGCATTTATTGTGTAATATTTGAGATTATTTTATTAATTTGATTTCTTCCAATCGTGTTAATAAATTTTTTTAATTTTTTTTTGAAGCCTAATGTATTGCGTAATTGTTTTAAATTATTTGGTAAATGTTCGTACAATTTTGGAGCTATATACAGGTGACATCGTTTCATTAGGGATTTGTTTGGTTTAGGAACATTTTTTGCGCGTAATTTATATCTGGTTTGATGATTATGTTTAATTATGTCGTGTTCACTAATAGTTTTGTGATAATGAGTGATGGTATGTAAGAAGTAAAGTTGTTTAGTATCATATACTTGTGCATCATTATATAAGTCATTAGTTGGGTATAATTTTGATTTGCCTAACATTGATTTTAAAATTCTTCTTTGAAGTACATCTAAATCGTTAAAGTATGTCGTGCATGCAGCACCCCACACTACTATACCATATGTTATGTGTGGCTCGACTAAAGCTTGATATATTATTCGTAGATAATATTCAGTTAATATACCGGTTAGAAATTTTATTTTATATGCTATGAATCTAATTTTCTTTAGTATGTGAGAAATATGTGCATCCCATCTCAAGTGGGGATCTAGATAAATTCCTAAATATTTTGTATCATTAACTCTATTGATTTTTATATTTTTATCATTTACCTTAAACCGAAGGTGGTTATATTTTGGTAGATGATTAGATAGTGATGAAAATGGTAAAAAATGAGTTTTAGTAAAGTTAATTGTTAATTTTCGGTTATTAAACCACTGAATAATTTTGCAAAAGTCATTTTGGATAATATCTTTTAAGTCGTTCCAATCCTTACCTTTATAGAGTATAGCAGTATCGTCTGCAAAACTGACTATTTTACCAGTACTGTTAATTTTGAATATATCGTTTAAATAGATATTGAATAACAGAGGACCCAAAATTGTACCTTGTGGAACACCACATTTAACAAACATTTCTTTACTATACGAGCTTAATAATTTTACTGATTGCGGTCTATTTGATAAATAATTTTCCATTAAAGTATACATCTTTCCACGAAAACCTATTCTTTCTAAGATTTCCAAAAGTATATTGTGGTTAACTGTGTCAAACGCTTTTTGTAAGTCCACAAATACGCATATCGATGGTACTTTTCCATCTATATTTTGGGTTATTTCATCTACTATACTTAATACCCCATTTGTTGTAGATTTGCCCGCTATAAAACCATATTGATTTGAATTTAGAATTTTGAATTTATTAAGAAAATTAATCATTTTATTAAGGAGTAATTTCTCAAAAACTTTAGCTAAACTTGATATAAGTGAAATAGGTCGATAGTTAGTGACGTCCGTATTATCATTAGATTTATAGATAGGTATGATGATTGCTGTCTTGAAAGCTGATGGAAATACTCCAGATTAGAAGGATTTGTTAATGATATAAGCAAGTGGTTCTGTTATTTGTTTGGCCGGTATCTTTAGATGTTCAGCTCTAATTTCGTCAACTCCAGGGCTTTTTTTATTTTTTAGAGTCATAATGGCATTGAAAACATCCTGATAGTCTACTTCAGTTAATACAAATGAATTATTCAGTCTTGTTTCATGCAGATGAATATCAGCATTTTGTTTGATATTATTTGCTAAGTTTCCTCCTATATTCGTGAAAAATTCTATGAACTCATCACATATTTGCTGAATATTGTCTATTTTCTGTCCTGTTTTTGTTTTTATTTCATTAATATTGTTTTTTGAATAGGATGACTTATTGAATATATCATTGACAGTGGACCATATGTGTCTAGAGTCATGTGAATTATTATTCAATTGTTTTATATAGTAATTTTTTTTTGCTTTTCTCAAAAGTTCTGTAAATTTGTTTTTATACTGATTATAATGATCTATATTTTCTTTCGTGGGTAAATATTTCATGATTTTATACAGTCTTTCTTTTTCGTTTGCAGATTTTATTAGTCCTTTGGTCATCCAATCATTTCTGCTTTATGTGTGTATGTATATTATGTATGTACGTGTGTATGCATATGTGTATATGTATATATGTGTATACGTGTATGTGTGTATGTATATATGTGTATGTGCATCCCTTTATGTGTTTATTTATATGAATATACCTATATGTATATATGCATGTGTATATTTATGTAAAAATGTAAGGAATACGAACAAGAATTTATTCTTCTGTGGGTAAATTCAGTTAATTTACGTATACCTATGTTAGTTCTTAGTTATATTTTTATGTTACGTCAATAAAATTATTATTATTATTATTATTATTATTATATTTTGTGACAGCAGCACTTTAAATATTTCTTCAAGTACATACATACAAAGACTAAATAGATTATAGCTATAATATGGGAAAAACCACAACCGAAGAATTTTTGTGAAGGGCATACGGCATTCTTCAAAAACGTGTCTTCAGCTAACGCTATCGTAGGGAACGAGGTAGATTTAGTACAGCAAAACCTGCCCGTCACACCAAATCGAATTTTCATGGCAAGCCTGTGCGCTAGTGTATGAGTAAAAATTGGCAAACCAAATCAAGGTATATTACTGACTAGGATTTGGCAACATCGCAACTAGATGGGGAAATTATGATAGAGATGTTGGTATAGTGAGGGGAACATTTATCTGACTTAAAAGAAATGACTACTTAACAATGATCTATTTTCTCTCTTTTGTGTAAGGAATGGAAAAACAGCTTATAAATCAGTATTCTATACCACAGTATTACCACCCAAAATGCATCTTTGAAGTTCTATAAAATAGCAGCCAGAGGATTCCTTAAAGAAAAAATGATATTTTCGTACAAGTTACATCCTAATCTTTCATTTTAAAATAAGAAATGAAATATTTGCGATATGCGCTGAAGTATAGTTCAGCCCAAAACGGACAACTAACTGACAAAATATTTAACCTACTACTTGATAACTATAGTCAACGCCAAACAAAGTGGCGTGCACGTCATCAAGGTGGGTGTGTTGAAAAATTTACATTGTTGCCAAACTTTTTGTAAAATAATAAAATTTATTATTTACATATCTAGGTTTATAAGCAATATTAACCTCAAATGAGAACAAAAATAATAGTATAATAAAATTATAGATCTGTACTTGCATAATCATTAAGTATGACAATTATTGATCAGATGACACTATGAAACTACCATATTTAATTGATAGCTTAAAGGTACTGAATAAAAATCCAAATGGGGTCCTCCAAATTTTATGCATGGTATTTATTTTACAGAATTCATACAGAAAAATGCATTCTAAAATTAGGTAAGCTACTGGTGTAAGCTTTTTCTGTACAATAAAGTTAGTCGGAGTTTCTTTCTTCAGCGCTGTCTGAATCTGAATCTTCATCACTCTCAAAGTTGATTATTAAAGGTTCGATGTCTGGTCGGTCAAAAATTCGTTCTCTTTCATACCACTTAAAAATTTCTTGCTCAGTATGTCGAACACTATTTTTCCACATGTCTGGGGTAACCGTTTGTAGAGCCTCGTTCCACATATCCAAACAGTCTTTTTCACTGTTACCATCTCTACCAATATGTCTGTTATAGTAACCTTTTGCTATGCCCCAAATTAACTCAATAGGGTTAAATATACAATGGTAAGGAGGCAGACGAAGAACTTTGTGCCCATGTTGTTCCGCCAATTCATCAATCACGTATATTTTAGGTGGTTTGTTTCTAAAAAAGCAGTTATTTTAAGAATAGGAATGAACAAAAGAAATATAAACTGTCGACCAAAATATATATAATTAAGAAGCATTATGTACCGAGCAACAATACTCAATAGCTCTGTTTTAAACATTGTGTTTAAAAATGGTATGTTTTGATTTGTCAACCAGTCTTGGATATTTTTTTTTTGTCCATGCATTGTTGGGCACTTTGTTCAATATCATGCTGTGATAAGGGGCGT